AAAAAAAAGGAAGGTAAAGACATGGTACAAATGAACAGACAGAATAGCTGGTCGGTATTACATGTGATCAGAACAGTGAAACTAGTGTTGTTCGGGCTGGCGTGTTGGACATATGGATACAAGCATGAAATTTTATACGATTTTTTATCCTACACAATATGCAACTGGGTTCTGTAAGAATCTAGACCGAAAAAAAGATACCAAGGCTGAGCTAACGATAGAAGCTTTTTATCTATGTATGGCTTTAGTTTGTGAATGTTTGAGAAAGTAGAAAAAAATGCTTCGGTAAATGAAAAGTAGTTTCTAAGCTACTTCTGAGAAAAACAATTGCGAAGAACAATATCATACATTCATATGACAATGTATTGCAATGAATGGTTTAGAGCGTAGTTAGGTATGATGCAGCACTTGTTAGTATTCTGTAAATATGACGAAGAATAGTTTCTTATCGGTAGTTAGTGGGCAGTTTTCTTTACATTCATTATTCAGACACGATGTATGTTTTACATTAGAACTCTGTTTGAGTTATCGAACTTGGTCTTATTGATGTGTATGATTTATAAGTGAAAACATATAGTGAATTCCATGCAACTATACGATTGTGTTCATGAAACTACGTTGATTAAAAATAAGTGAAAAGTCAAATAATTTATTCTGTAATGTTAGACTGTTTATGAAAAGAAGGTGAATGCTTGCTAGAACGTCATATAAGAAAATAGCGTTGACAAATGATTCTCGAAATTCATCCTTGGGAAAGTGTACTTTATATGAAATTCGTTTCAGAGCGATTATTTTGAGAAGTAATTTGGTTTAGTAGTAATATTCTTTGAAGAAATGTTTAGCCTTGATAGTATGGATGCGAATTTAGGTGTTGTTGTGAGTCAATCTTCTCTCCATTCACATTCGCCATTACCTGTATTCACAGTCACGCATAATCTTAATAAAGTATTTGTCGGAGGTATTTTTCAAGGGAATATCGAGGATATTATTTATAACAAGACAAACTAGTGTATAAAAGGTTAATTTCTGTCAAAATCTGATTTTCATTACCGAAATAGTATTTAAAAAAAAAGGTGCTTACACACAGGTAAAACACAAATAATTCCCTCTACTGAAAGGAGGGTATTACGCAGAATGAGCAAACTTCGTTCGTTCGTGAATTCGTGAATTCGTGAATTCGTTCGTTCGTTCACTCTGATCGGTTGATTAAAACTGCTAATACTTTCCTGCTATAAGAGTTGATCGAAGGATAATCAAGGTCGGGGAACTCGAATTTGATGTTAGTTTTTTGCAAAAATTTTTTTAGTAATATTTTTTAACAAAAAATCAATTTTTTATAAAAATTTTTTCAGGAATATTTTTTAACAAAAAATCAATTTCTCATAAAAATTTTTTAAAGAATATTTTTTTACAAAAATTTTTTAAACGATAGTTTTTATCAAAGGATCAATTTTTTATAAAAATTTTTAAGGAATATTTTTTAACAGAGGACCATTTTTTTACAAAATTTTTTTTCCCTATAAGGTTTGATCAAAGGTAATCAGGGTCGAGGAGCTCGAATTTGAGGTTAGTTCTTTAAAATGTTTTTAGGTATCAATTTTTTTAAACAATGGACCACTTTTTGTACAAAAAAACTTTTTCTTATAGAGTTTGATCAAAAGTAATCGGGTGGAGGAACATGAATCTAATGTTGGTTTTTTGAAAATTTAAGAGATTTAGTAATGGTTACATCATAGAAACTCTAGTTGAAGTAAGCGGAAGAAAAGTTAATAACTCAGTATCAGTTTTAATTAAAGATTTTTCCGTTGTTGCCTATCACACGCCATGTCTTTCGATATAATTGTAGCAGAAAAATGTAAATAAAAGCGAGATATCTGATCGGGACCCTGCTGTTGGATCTTCATCGGCATCATATATATAACTATCATTCCAAATATGCGAAGAACTATGCTAGACGAATATGCTCTATGCGCAGCGATTTACAAAACAGTACTTCCTCGTTTCAGTCTCTTTTTAGAAATCGTATTACCAGAAGCTTATCGCGTTTTGTAGTGACACTGAAAGGAAACCAATTTATTTCCCTCAAAAGTGAAGGATATAGTGAAGGTATCCATAAAAACGGCTAGTCGTGAGTGGCCGACCGGAGGGAGGCCGACGAACGTTTAGACGTTAATTCGGAAAGTTAATACAATGTATAGACTTGAAAATCCGCAAGTAGCTTGAACGGTATTGTCGCAAGAACCTAACTGATATTCCTACGAGAGTGAATCAGCCAGGTTATCATTTTCCTGAGAATAAAAGAGGAATTAAAATCTGTGCTGAAAGCCACACACTATTATGTAAATTCTAGAAGTTTTTGATTACGAATCTAGTCAATATGAGTGGCTTAGTTTTCATATGTAGAAATGATCATGTGACTGGTGAGAAAATAGAAAAATATACTATGTATGTCAACGGCTGGTCGTGAGTGGCCGACCAAAGGGAGGCCGACGAACGACAAGACGTTAGCCTGACAGCTTAAAGTGCGTCAAATGAGTCACAGTGAAAGACTTTTTGAGAAGTGATCAAGTGATTCGATTCATGAACCAAAACAAATTTTTATCTCATTACGAGGATAGTGATCGATCCGATCAAATCCTTTCAGTAGAGGGTCAGCGGCGATTGCGTCGCGTTACTTGTAATGTTTTATATCTTTTTGTCGTTCTTATCTAAACTTTGTATTTTTATGACATCATATCTTGTTTGAAACGTGGAATATTTACATGAAATTGAATAGAAAGAAAAAAAAGAACTGGTTTTTCTAATCATCAGGACGCTGTGTTTTATATTCTCATAAGGTGAGAAGTGAATTTTTGTGGAGAAAGGTCTCGTATGTTTTATAGAAGTCATTCTACTTGTATAGAGATTGTAGGTATGAAACGAATTCGAGAGTTAATGGACAAAAATTAGGCGATCATAATAGAAAGAAGTTTACCTGGTATCGATCGTAGCTATCGAGGATGCTGTCGAATCGTTGACATACGCTTGTCATGGAACACAGCATTGTAAGATTCGATTGGTGATCAAGAATTCGGTAGACAAGTTCTACCGGTAATGTGACGAAATTGGTGACTGTTTCATTTGCCATTGTAGATTGTTGAAGAAAGGTGTGCTCCGTAGCCTTATATGTTAGTTATATATACTGTTCTCTATCTTATCGTTAAATGAGCGAATATTTGTTTTGTGTCATAGATTTTACATGATGGCGTAATTACTTGTTGGAAGAAAAAAAACGAAAAAGAATGATATCAACTAGAAAATAACAAAATTGAGATAACAACTGTAAGCAACGTGTTTGTTAACTCTCGGTTACCGTCCTCATTTTATAACTTGAACAGTGTCCTGGGGTCCGCGCGGACCCACCTCGTAAAAATTACAGAAAATGATGATTTTGCTTTTCGAAAGGTATTCATTTATATATATTATAAATTTTCAAATACTCTTCTCTCCACAGACTTATTTATCGCTTGTTATAGAGGCAATATAAGAACGCACGATGCGAAGAAAAAAAATTGACTTATACTAATTTTTATCAAAGCGTAGTAAAAATTTAGCAATTTACAAAGAAAATGCGAGTTACTGTTATGAGAGGTTAACGTGCAAACGAATCAGAACGTATTTAATTTGAAAATAAATCGATACGCAACAGATGGTAGTTATAAAAAAGCGAAAAATCACATCTAAACCTTCATTAGTGTCCTGGGGTCCGCGTGGACCCATATCCGCATTTTTTCTCTCTTAGATCTGGGCATGATTTTTCATATGGATATTGTACATCTACTAATGACTAGAGATTACATAAAACAAATGACTCGAAACAGTAAATAGTTATGTGATGCGAGACGAAAATCTGTAAAGTGGGTCCACGCGGACCCCACAACAGTAACCGAGGGTTAAGATTGTTTTATCGATATAAAATGATGCATAATAGACATGAATATTGTGTTCTCGGTTATAATCAGTAAGGGCTGAATGACTTCCTTTGTTATTTATTTTTTGTTCAGAATCTATATTGTCATTTGATTGTAAAATTAATATACATATTTTATAGGATGACGCAGAATTTGCTTTGATGAAACAGTTAGAGATGTGAATCGAGGAAAAAAAAAGAACGGTTTTCGAAGAACTTTGATAATGACGTTAAAATGAATATTCATCGAATAGATGATCTTGTCAATACAAAAATATTATTGATCATTTGAAAAGATATCGAAAAGAAGATCAAATCTCACAGTGGTTGAATGTGTAGATCATCGATATTTCTCGTGATGGACATTCTAATACTGAATCAGTTAATAAGGATTATATGGTATAAATAGATATTCATTCTCAACTCTTGATTATAGTATATTTTATTATTTTATATACAATACGTCAGAATAATAACTTTCTTCATTTAAACTTGCCAATTAACGACTAAAAATATGTTTATTGGATTTTTTTTATAGAAAATGATCAATATATTTTAATCAGAATGTAACTGTATTAGTGTGATAACGTAGGTACGTAGATTTGTTAACAAGAGAAAACAAATGTCCATGGTGGACCATGTGCACACACAAAAACAAACTTTTGTATATGACGTCATATTTTTCTTGTTTTTCAACTGATATCTAATAAACAATGAAGTTTGCCTAGTTAATCGATGTCATTTTATTTTACCAGACAGATTTCTCATCTCTGACTAATAAATAAGAGAAGAGATGAGTAACGTGTATATAATAAACTGCCTTACCTAATATGACGAAAAAGGTGATCACCTTTATGTACCACAAACTATTTTTATTCAAGGATACATACAAAGAAAAAAATCAAATACGTCTTACTGATTTATGTGTATTAAATGATGAAAATGAATGAGTATACAATAAAAAATATCCTTTCTCTATCTCTCCCGAGAGAATGATTGCAAGTATTATTT